TGGCGTCGTAGAGCGGGGAACACCAACACATCGATTCCACTTGGTCGCTCATCATGCCTTACTGTTTTATCAAAGTGAATACAGCCACAAATATCTCCTTTGGCCGTGGATCAATGGACAATTACAGATCCTCCTTTGGTTTAAGCACCTCTCCCTGGATGACAAGTCTGCTCCTTGCTGTAAGAGTCATAAATAGATTGTGTGTATTAGAGACTAAACTAAAGCTACGATATTAATGCAGCATTACGGCTATCACATTTAAGAAGATGCCATGTGAACTGCTGTGGTGGTATTTTTAGAAAGTAGATGTAGTGCAAACCAGAGAAGTCTCCTTCAACTAGATGTGACATTCATTAGGCTTAGGCTGCCATGCTGTTAATAATCTTTGAAGAGAAGAAAAAAAAACAGAGGGACCTCAAAGACTTTCAATTGTTCCATCTCGCCCACGATAAACTTGTGATTTTTCAAGCCGAGCACTCAGGAAACCATCAGGATAGCCTCATTATGCAATTTCTATCATCAAATGCTCTCAGTCAGGGATTCTGTTAAAGAGTTGCTGTTTCTCTTTGTCTTGAAAGAAACTGCAATAAAAAAAAGTCTTATCAGCTTCTCCGCTTGCCCTACAATCCGCGATTTCTGAAACCTTTTTTTCCCCCACTGTTTCATAAGCGTATTAAAAGATGTCAAGACATGAAAATCATTAGCCCGCGTTGTCTGATATTTAAATGCAGCCAGTACTCTGAGTCAGCCAAGGACACCGTCTTCTTCTCGTCGAAATGTCAGACTAATAAGGCACAAAGAGCCACTGTAATCCAATTTCGTGCTCATCTTTAGGCAAAGGATGCAATCAATACATTCAGGACATTCGTATCACAGCAACATGTCCCAACTTCTTGTCTTGTGTCTTCAAATGATTATTGTGTATTTGCTGGTTGTTGGGGAAAACATTTCTTTATTTATATCACAACACGTTAAAGCAGAACTGTTCAGAAATTACTGGGTTGCTTTAGGAAGTCAAGACCAGACAAGGAAATAAGCCAGAACTCAGTCAGAAGGTACCATGGACTTTCCTAAAATTTACCAAATAATTTTCAGAACTTTTCAAAGTTTCACAACACTTACTAGATATTTTAAACATTCAAGGAAAATATGGGGTTATTGCTTATCTTTTATTGTCATTGTTTAAGTTTTAACATTTCAATTATCATTCTGTCTCCTGGTTTAATAATACACTAGGAAACAGATGAAAAGTACAGAGACACTCTGATCAATCTACTAAGAAGTAATGTTGTTTTCTAAATATATTAGTGCATGTTCGTGATGCTGCACTTCAAAAAAAAAAGTATTTTAAACAGCAATAAATACAGGGGGTGTTGTATCCATTTAAGAAAACAAAGGGCGTGTAGCGTATTATAAGTAAATATGGGTGAAAAGTCATGTAGTTCTTTATAAAAAGGCAGATTTTTTTTACTAAGCTCTCAGTTTATAATGATTTTGGCTGCAAACAAAAGGTTGCTGGGATCAAGTCGCAAAATGTGAGTAGGTGGGATCTGATGACAGATGAGATGTGGGTGGTGGAACTGCTGGTGGCAGCTGTGGCCTTAATGGCAGGTCAGCAAGGCGGTATTACTTCTCTGTTTGATCCGCCTTTTACAGTAATAAGGATCTTTACAGTGCTGCTGACTGCCCAGATTACAGGATTACTTCTGTCGTGGACTGTTTGACACCTTTAAGTCAGGGGGAAAGCCCCAATCCTATTTCTGGCAATGGAGATTTATATTACCCAAATCCTCCTTGGGGCTCAGATAAGACACATAAATATAATCTCATAGATGTGACATTGGTGGAAATTCTTCTGATGTGTGTTGCTCCAGGAATGATAATTATTCCTGAAGTCTCCTCAGAAATGTTGTGTCAGGCAATGCCATCCAAAACAGATGTTTGATTTATTTTTGAAGAGCTCTCTGTCCTCTCTCCATGTGGATTTTGTGAGCATTAGGTCACTTATTGACACAATGATGTGCATCACATGCGCTTCAGTTTGTTGCCACGTGATTTTACGTCTCCCCACCAGGATCACATACTGACATGCGAGCATGTGTGGCCTGCAGCCAGCAATCCATATCTTATCATTCATGGTGCCATGTGGAGATGGGAATCCATCCCATAAATGATCTTATAATCATGTGACAGAGCACCTTTTGGTATGTTGCTTGGAAAGGAAGCATATCCATCTGAGCCCTAAGAAACCGTCACAGATTTCTGTGGAAATCAACAATGAGCTTAATGTGGATGGATATTTGTGTCATTCATGGACTCAAATTACAGCCGTACTAAGAAAATACACGTGGATCAGAAAAGATCAAATGAATAAAAAGTGAAAAACTTACAGCACATGAGAAAATGGAATTTAAAATCAGCAGAGAAAGTAGGGAGTGTGATGACTGAACAAGGAGCAGGTGGTTGATTAGAAATTGGGTGCAGCTGGGAGGGAAGGCAGGTAACTGAAGTTCGGCTGAGGAGACGAAAGAAATGAAACACAGAGGCAATCAGGGATGTTGGGTTGCTTTGATTTTATGACTCATTTGTCACATTAGTGTTGACAAGTCAACCCATAAACCCATATAATCAGCACAATTTTCATGTGTCCAGCACTGCCTTGTGTGGTTCTAAAAATATTCAAGTTAAAAGTCAACCGACTGCTTCACCAAGATAATATAAAATAGAGAGTGATATTGGACTATCACTCCAATATTCCTTGAAATATACCTCCAGAAAAAAAATTAATAAAAATCTGGGTCATCCTCATCAACAAATTCATCCAGCTAAAACATAATTGTCATCACTTTGCTTTGCTGAGTTGGAGTTAAGAAGGAAGCCAGGAGGGGAAATGGGCTAGCAAAGAGATGCAGGGAGCAGCTGTGTTGTGGTGCGCTCCTCTGTCCCTGATAGGCTGGGCTTCTTGGATTGATGTCACTCCTGAACATTTCAGTGGGCCGGCCTATTGTGTGCAGGTGTTTATGTTTGTTAGCGGTGTGGGCACGACTTCACGGAGGTTTTCCTGCAAAATCTGGAGGGCTTGGCGACCTTCCAGAGACGCAAGGAGCCTTCTGAGCCCCCCATGGGTTTCCAGCAGCCTCTCCAAAAAGATACAATTTACCTCCAATTCAGTACACATTTGCGTTTGTGAAAACGTCGGGGTATTTCTGCGTGTGCGTGTATAGACGTGTGTACTTTCACGTGTGGGTGTGTGTGAGCAACATGCAAAGTGTGTCTTTTCAGGCTCCCACATGCCTCCAAATAGATGCTGAAAATAGCTCGGAGGAAAAAGGCCTAAACTCTCATACTTCATCACATATGCCTGGCAGCGGCTGTGTGAGCCTCAACTAAGGGGGGAAATCAATGTGCCCAAACATAAAAAAAAAAAAAAAAACATTACCTGGTCTTCAAGATGGCCTCGCAAGCTTTTGTGAAATTGTGCATTTAATCCAATTTGTACCGGGAACTCAATTAAAGTGTGAAAGCAGAGACAAAATGAAAGCCTCCTCTGATGAAATGGATGTGCAGTGAAGAGGCTCACCGCTCATGAGTCATGATGTGAAGAGCATGTAAATGACTTAGGTCTGTCACATTTTAATCTGAAAGGATCAAATATAAGAACAAAAAAAAAACAAATTCCCTTCCTTCTTCTCTCTCGGGTGGCAATTACAGTTGTGACTAAAATCTGAGATTAATCTTTTAAAGTCCTCTCCACACTCCACTCTGACTCAGCTGATGCCTACTGGCTGTAACTGTTTGCACTGCAGTGTTTCAGTGTTCTGTGAAATGTTAATATCTAACACATATTTGTGAATCTAATTTTCCCAAGCGGCACTGTTTGGGAATAACTTGTGGCGCTGTGTTAAATGTAGATTGTTACAGAAAGCAATGATTGTGACTTTTCATGAATACTTGAAAAAATGTAATAAGAAGGCTTCATTTTGAAGATTTCTGGCTCAGTGTCGCTAGGTGAAAAACGTTGAAAAAGTTCGTCAACGATCAAAAATAAATTGACATTAAAAACTGCTTTCGAAAATATTTTACGCCAGATCGTTCCTGCCTCCATACACAGTTTAAATTAATGTTGATACATTTTTCCTACACTTATTCCTGATTTTTTAGGCTATGGCATAATATTTATTTCACACATTACCCCATTTATTATATTGCAGCACTTTTGGACCTCCATAAAGCTCACTGCTAGCTGGCCGCACAGGCCATCTGTAGCAGCCACGTCTCACACACTCGAGCTGCAACAAGAATTGATCCTCACACAAAGCTGCTCATTCGGTGCTGGGAAAACCTGACTTGGCAAGTGAGCGACACGGCAGCCTCCTCTTCCTCACTGCTTCAGTCCTTCCAGGAAACACAGAGATGCTGAAAAGCCCCTCCGAGAATGGGTTTTGTGAAAATTGTTAATGGATGCAAATTGGTAAATTTAGATTTGTTCACAAGTAATCCAAGACATTTATTAATGTAAGCAGAGAAACATGAGACAGACTAACGACATGAAGCAGGCGAAAACAACAAGGCAATAGACCAGGGTGGTATGAAACTCTTCCTATATTTCTATGTTTTTTTTCTTTACCTTTAAATATTATCCTAAGCTCTGCTGTATTTATTATGCTTGATAATTTCATCTAGATGCACCAGGTGATAACCAATCAGTTGCTATGCTGTCGAATGTGGACAGATATTGTAAACAGGAAACAGTTAGCTTAGAGTGGATAAAAATAATCTGGAGAAAACTTTCAACCAAAACATATTTTTAGAAAAAAAACTAGACATTTGAAAGAATATGTTTTTAAGATGGCTGGAGTTGATTATGTTGCTTTGAAGTAAATAATATTTAGTTCGAGAAACAAGGTTACTTGGTGCCCCCAAGAGGCCACTGAAGGAATTACAAAAGCTGGTTTAGTTTATTTGTTTATTAAAATTAAGAAGATATCTAAATGTGCAGGACTGAGATACCATGTTGACACAAACCACGTGTACTCATAAAAACGAAAGAACAACAGTTTGTTGGTCAGAGACTAAAAAATTAGAGTGTTTTGACTTTGAAAATGTGCTTCTTTTTAGCTGGATTGAGGAGATGAGCAGCGATGCTGAAGCTGCTCCTCCCTCCTTGTGGACCTTCAGGTGGAGAGGCAGGTCTCTCGCAGGTTGTCCGTCTTGTTTGTTTTCCTGCCTGTCCTCATTAGATGCTGAGAGATTGACACGGCCATCCCCTACGCTCACATCCCCTCCCGTTCGGCTCACCCACTCCCCACAGCTGAGATGGACCTCTCCGGCGCAGCGTGGGCAATAATGAATCACGATTAGCGCAGGTCAAACCAGCTGGCAACCAATTTACGGGGCAGAAGAAGCTTGACCTCCAGATAAATGTGAGGGTTTAAGCGCTTCATCCTGAGGAGATGCAGATGCATTTTTAAAGTAACTTCAGATAAGAGGTGAAGATTCCATCTCTCTATATTTACCTTCACCTCAAGCTATTAAGAAGTCCTCAGCATAAATCCTTCAAATAACTTAAGCAACATAATCTACTCTTTCTGACTGTTTGGTGCTTTTGCCACAAGTGAGAACATTCTGACACCTAGTGGCGTTAAATGCTTAAAACAGTTTTTACAACCAATTATTCATACTCCTTGAGTCTTTTTTCTCTTTTGTTCACAAACAAAAGAAAAAAATGTTATAGACATATGACATCCATGTCTTCATGTCACAGATCAAAACAAAGTAGTGATAAACCTGAAAGTTATTCACATCTCAACTGAAACTTCTGACTTTTTTTTTTTTTGCAAGATGGGTGAATCAGATTGGATATATTGTCTGTAAATTACCACTTTCAACCCAGTTTATTGACTAAAGTAGGTCTGGACTTTGACTAGGTCATTTAAATCCAGTCTAAAGTTTTTGCAGCATTTAACAAGTTTATTTCCAGGATTGCTGGGTATTTATCACCAGGCTAATTGTCTCCAGCACCTTAAACTCAATGGCTATTTAGAGTCGGTGTTAGTGGCCAATTGGGAAACGTCCTCAGACGTCTGGTACATATTGAGAGGCAGAGTAAATGGTTTTGCTTGTTTTCATTTAGGGGTATCAGAGTAAAAAAGGGGTGTGGCTCAAGTGTACAGCACACCTTTTTGTATGATTGGTAAAATAAAGAAAACCATTTCTCAATGTTCTCACACTCCTCTCCTTATGAAAGACTGTAGCATTTCACTGACAAAAAGTTTTAATAATTATGGCACTGTCTAAAGATGTTTGTTTGATTAAAGATTAATTCATTTCACACTAATATGAAAGGGTGTAGTTGACACATCATAGAAAATATGTTGCATTTGGCTCATAAAGATAACTATAAGCTTATTTTACTATATGTAATAAAAGATTTGCTAAAGTTTTCGGTCATCCGCATGCAATAATGCAAATAGGCTTGTAAAGACATTACAGTGTGTTTGTCGCATCCGAATCTTAAGACAGTCTACCAATAAAGTTACCCGTTTTAGTGCCAAGCTGGAGTCAAGCTCAGTCTGTCTCAAAAGCAAAAAAAAACAAAAAAACAAAATCATATTTGGAGGGAGAATGGGAAGCAGAACATCTGCTGCAAAAATCAAACTCTCCTGTACGCTGACAAACAAGCCATCTGTGCTGCTTGTTTCAAGTCCAAAAACCACATATTTTCCATCAGCGCCAACTGAACCAACAATGCATAGTTAGCAGAACTTCTGGTGAGCTGAATGTGATGGCAGAGTTTTACTTTGCTGTAAAGAGATCTCCTTCAGAGACAAGTTGAAGGGAAACTGTAGGTTATGGTCTGTATATTCGGACATGAAAAATAGCAACAAAACAACAAAATTTGCCATTTACTCATTACTATTCTTTGTGGTTCTCGTAATTAAAACAAACACTTGCAATGTCATTTCAATGTATCACTTATTTGCGTTTTTAACTTATGCAAAGTTTGGATTACAGTAAATAATGGAATGTTTTCGCAACTGCAAGAACTTTGTCATCCAGTAGGTTTCTATTGCTCTGGACGTGTTGAATAAAACATCAATTGAGAAATGAAACATCTAAACTGCAAAAGAATTCAGTATCATCATCGTTTAAATCATATTGATCATATTGATTCGGATTTATACTGCAACTTATTCTGGCAGAACCTGCACCTCTAAAACACAAAGCCAGCTCTCATATTTCAGCAAATATTGGCACATATTTGCTGTAAGACAAGTGATTTACTGTATTTACTGTAACTCAAGTGATTGTGGGGCTTACCTGTTGAGGAGTGAGCGGCGCTAATCAGACGCCTGAGAGGGAAAATGGGAACGCAGCACAGCAGGTTCATCAGGCCTCAACTCAGTGATGGAGGCAATCAGAAGGAGTTCCTTCTGTTTTCACTGATGGATGGGGGAAATGGAATCGGACTCCCACCTGAGAAAATGAAAAATAAAGACAGACACATTCAGCTCGGAGATTTTACCACACATTTATCAGGCTTTAACTACGCAAAGCTATTTGGTACCAATTTATAACAGGATGTTTCTTCTAAGCAGTAAAACAGCAACTGCTGAAGTTGTAAAAACTTTATCATCCATTAAAATGGAGCTAGAGAGTATTAAATGGAAGATGAGGAAGAAATCTTCCTCATCATGAGAAGACAGTTAGAGCTACATTTATCACTAATTATTCATTAACATATTATTAATAATAACAGAAAATTAAACACATTTACTCAAATTTGCAAGTTCCTCTAGAGAGTCATTGTAAATGGTGTTAGAAGGATAGTTGTCAGTATTACAGCAAGTCTGAAAAAGCTTCTGACTGAAGACACTCTGCTGTTGCGTGACAAGTCATAACAAGGATGCTCGTTTCCTGAAGAGTCATTCTTTGTAAAATCAGAGGAAGTCTGAAGAGACTGAATTACTGTTCAGAGATGCTTCTGAGTGTAATGTCTGCTCTCTCCATACTTGTAGGAAGCTTCACCAGAATCTATTAATGATTTTTTTTTTAAACGTCTCGACAGTTTATTCAGTAACAAAATCATAAATCATTTATAAGGAGAGTCTGATTGTAAAGTGGTAGCAGTTATTTATGCTCCGTTGTTGCAATCATGATATCAGCCAGGGAAAGATACAGAGTATATGTACATTCTTACTTTGGAAAAACTATGACAAAAAACTCAGATAATTTCAAAAAAGTAAATTTTTCCTGCCTTGGTATCTCTTCATACCAGTAACCGACCCATGCCTGACACGTAGTCCTTTTTTCTGTCTCCTTGCCAACTCTGTGACTGACTGACGAGTTGCCTCCAGACAGAGCCGCGCCTCTTACCGGGTGACAGCTGGAGTCGGCTTCAACCTTCCCATGACCATCAGTGAGACAAAGCAGGTGGGAAAACAGCCATGTGTCTCAAGCTCATGCTGAATCTTCCCTCTTTACGGCATGATTTGACTGCTGAAAGCTGAGAACGTTCTGCTTGTCACCACCTACAAATTTTCCATGTTTAAAATTTCTGACTTTTTAAAAAATGCACATAATTTTTAAACATTGTGTGCACTTTTTAAAACTTGCACACAATTTTTAAACTGTAAAAATTGTGTGCAACTAACTATTTTAGTTACCTGAAATAGTTGCATTTCAGGTAACTATTTTTTGCATTATTTTAAATAAGGAACTTGGAGAAACAAGAGGCCGCAATGTTTAGAAAGGTTAAAAGGGAGGATGGAAACAAGATTGGGGGGGAAAAAACATAAGGAAGAACATGGACATACATTGAATTCCATATTTTTCAAGATTATGCATAAACCCAGAAATAATGAATGTCAGATAAGTTTCTAGGTACTTCATTTTTTTTCTTGTTGAGACTGAATAGAATGATAGAAGGTAGTAAAGGGTTAAACGGCCGCCTCTCTATCTGACTCCACCTTCTGGGGTGACTCAGCACAACAGGAAGCAGGAAGTGCTTACAGTCAGACTCGTACTTCTATCAGTTTTTCCTATTTCTTGCTTTGTTTTTGCCTGTTTGTGAATCTTCATTTGCTCTGTAAGGGCAAATGCCTCTGAAGTAGCTTTATCTCTTCTCCCTGCAGACAGCCAACAGTCTGCAGCTGTTGCCTCTGGCTCTCCTGTGTTTGATCACTTTCTGCAACTTTGCCCTACTTTCTCTTTCAGGGTAAACAAGGAGTCAGAATGGCAGGCAGGCTGTCTCTGCCCGAGGAGGACCTGACCTGTCCCATATGCTGCACCATCTTCAGGGACCCGGTGGTCCTCAAATGCACCCACAGCTTCTGTGCTCCCTGCCTGCAACAGTACTGGACTGGAAGGGGACGAAGACGGGACTGCCCGCTGTGCAGAACCCAGAACCTGGACGACCCCGTGCCCAGTCTGACTCTGAAGAACCTGTGTGAGTCGTGTGTGCAGGAGGAGATCCTCCCTGTAGAGGAGACGGGAGCAGAGCTGTACTGCGATCCAGGAGAGATGTGCCCTGCCCACAACGAGAAGCTCAAGCTGTATTGCTTGTTGGACAAAGAGCCCATCTGTGTGGTCTGCCACACCTCAAGGAAACACAAGCAGCACGACTGCTGTCCTATTAGCGAAGCGATTTTGGATGTGAAGGTAAATACTGGCTTTACGTTCCACTGCAAACATGTTCCTTCCTAATATTATAAGGTATTGCTTAAGGAACCCATTAGAAGCTTCAGTATTGCTCTTTTAATTACTCATGCAGGAGAAGATGAAGTCGGCTATTAGCTCGCTGCAGGAGAAGAGGGATGCATTTGACAAAATGAAGAAAAACTGTGAGGACACAGTCACACACATTCAGGTGCAGTACCCGATCTTCCCAGCTGAACATATTCCCTCAGCATGATGCTGCCACCACCACATTTCACCCTATGGATGGTGTGGTTATGGTAATGCACATTCTTAGTTTTCCTCCATGTAAAGTTTTGCCTATATCCCATCTGGCTTGTAGTAAATTACCAATGGGTTTTTTTACACAACTTCTTCTTGCAACTCTTCCTCAGCAGTCAGATTTCTACATTTTTTTTATCAAAAAAATGTAATGGATGTACTGGTGTCAGGCTAACTGGAGTTGAACAGATATTTCTGGGGGTTTTTTAAAAAAAAAAAAACCCAAAACTATATAGAAGCCCCAAATTATCCCGAAGTGAAAATGTAAAAAAAAAAAAACTTTTTTAAGTACTTGTGCTGCTGTAGTGACAGAGTATTTTCTTTCAGGTTCAGGCTCGATTCGTGGAAAGACGGACTCATGAAGAGTTTGAAAAACTCCACAACTTCCTTCGTGTGGAGGAGGAATCCCGGATGGAGACTCTGCGGAGGGAGGAAGAGCAGAAGACGGGACAGATGAGGCAGATGATGGAGGAAATCGAAAGAAGTATATCGTCCATGTCTGAAACTATCAGAGTTTTGGAGGAGGAGATGGCTCTGGAGGACCTCTCTGTCCTGCATGTAAGCTAATTTACGATAAGAATAGATGTGGCAGGCATGCATGCCTATTGCTTTCAAATCCCAAGTGACTTTTTTTTTTCTTTTTTCAGAGATGCAAAAGTACACTAGCAAGGTAAAAAGAAACATTTTCGGTTTAAATGTTTCCCTTTCTGTTATGGAACTTCATTTGCATAAAAAAAAAGCACAAATGTATCTTTTGCAGGGCAAATATTCCAGTAGAAGAGCCAGTCATGGCTCCAGCAGCACTAATAGATGTGGCCAAATATGTCGGCTCTTTAACTTTCCAGGTCTGGCAGAAGATGCATAAAATCGCCAAATATAGTGAGTCTATGCAGTTATATTAAACCATTCTGACCCTACTATAATTCTTGGAAAAGCTGCTACCTTTGGATATATTCCTGAGGTGGGACTATCACCTGAACTCTGCCATGTTCTCTTCAGCTCCAGTCACTCTGGATCCCAACACGGCGGCCCCATGGCTTGTCCTGTCAGATGATCTCACCACCGTCCATGACAGCGATGAGAAACGGAGGCTGCCCAACAATCCGGAGAGGTTCGACCCTGACACCGCCGTGCTGGGCCGGGACGGCCTGACCTCGGGCAAGCACGCCTGGGAGGTGAACGTGGGAGACAACACGGCGTGGGTCGTCGGCGTGGCGAAGGAGTCCATCAAAAGGAAGGAGAAAGTGTCTTCGGTCCTGAATAATGGCTACCTGTGTGTGTATTTTTACCACAAAATGTACTTTGCTGGTACTTCTCCTTTGACTCGGCTGAATCTGAAAAGAAATCCGCAGAAGATCAGAGTGCAGCTGGATTGTGAAAAGGGCAAAGTGTCATTCTATGACCCGCATAACAACACGCATATATACTCCTTCAAACACGCCATCACCGAGGCGGTGTTTCCTTACCTTTGGGTAGGCTGTCAGATGTGCCCTTTGTCAGTTGAACCAGTGGATGTTTTCCTGAAACTTGCTGATTTTTGTTAAGGTTTCAACAGTTTCTTTAACTCTAACTTTGGTTGATCTGAACTCTCTCATTCAGTTTAATGTTTTCAGGGTGAATTTCCTCAAAAAACTAATTTTGTAATAGTGTTGTCAAAGAAATGATGATTTGGATTTCTCTTTCTAACGATGGTGATAGTGTCATGTGCAAATAAATAACCTGAAAGATCACACTTCATGTATGTATGACTGAAATGTAATCATGCCACTGTCAGTCAGATGGGCTGCATAATCATATTTACACCAATCAATTCCATTTGCAAATGCTAATCATATATTTATCAATAAAATTCTTAAAATAATAATGCTTTATTTGATGTTGCATTTTCTTTTTAAGGGAACACTGAATAAAGTTAGTAAATGTTTATTATAAAGGAGTTTGGAAATGTTTTACTTTATAATAAGAAGCACTAAAATAAGATGCAAGTCATTTACCTATTGTGTCCAGATTTGGATATAATTTTTTTAAATATTATTTTCAAAATAGTAAAACAAAATCAGATTTAAAAGAAAAATAAAATGGGCCCTTTTTAAAGAACTTATCCAGGCAGCGACCTAATTTTAATGCAGATAAGCAATATGACAGTAGGGGGCGCTGTTTCTTAAATAAAAACCTCCATAGAACAAGCTGAGGTTTTAAGAGTCTGTATTTAATTACTTTTTGTCAGCAATTTTGTGTTTTTATTATGTTTACAACTCTAAAAACCAAACTTAAAATCAAACCCAACAGTTTTATAACACAAAAAGTAAAACGTATTTCCACGTTTTACTTCACATTTGGAAACAAAAACAAACCCACTACTTGTTTTTTTTTTTGTTTGTTTGTTTGTTTGTTGTTTTTCATTAGACGTACAGAAAAATGTAATTACCAGAACGCGCAGATAATAATTTCTAATTTCCCACCTTTAAAACGGAGGGGGGATTTCTTTAATTGGCCGTCAAATTAATACAAATAGGAGAAGAAAAGCCTGCACGTTTGAGGTAACAACTACGCTAAAACTGAAGGACAAATATATCTTTAAATATTTAAACATTGCATGTGCATTAGTTTCATATTATTTTGTAGACTTGTTTATTTGTTGTAAGGCAGTTTATAACACACAAAAAAACAACAACGTGTATTTCCATGTTTTACTTCATATTTTGAAACAAAAACAAACCCACTACTTGTTCTGTTTTTTTTGTTTGTTTTGTTTTTGTTGTTGTTGTTGTTTTTCATTAGACGTACAGAAAAATGTAATTACCAGAACGCGCAGATAATAATTTCTAATTTCCCACCTTTAAAACGGAGGGGGGATTTATTTTATTGGCCGTCAAATTAATACGAATAGGAGAAGAAAAGCCTGCACGTTTGAGGTAACAACTACACTATAACTTATGGAAAAATATGTCTTTATATATTTAAACATTGCATGTGCATTAGTTTCATATTATTTTGTAGGCTTGTTTATTTTTTGTAAGGCAGTTTTTCCATACTCGCCTGATTAGAAAAAAGCTCGACGTCATTAACCTTCGGGAAAGTTTCCTTCACTTTTCAACAATAAAATCTTTTTTCTCAACAGAGACTTTTCCATATTTCAACAGGCAGAAGGTACCAAAGGTAGGTTCATTAATTATGTCTTATTGTGTCTTATTTAGCTAGCTCCAGCAACAGCTCGTGTTACATTGTAGCTATTAGCTTAATTAGAAATTAGTTCAGCTCACACATTTATTTTGCTGATGCTTCATTTGATTTATTTCAAGAGCTAACACGAAGTCATTCCCTGCTAAACAAGATAAAATGTGTTTTATGTTCATCACTATTTCCACTGTTCATTCTAATTTACTCAAAATGAATTTCTCCAGTGTCAAATAGGAAATCCAAGATGACTGATGATTCAAGTGAGAGAAGAAAAAAAAGAAAGTTGGCACCCAAAGCCCCATCTGTCAGTCCCAAAACCATAATGCTCAATTCATCCCACCTCCTCCTGGAAATACCTGCAGATACCAACACCAGCCTCCCGGTGTGGGATGCCATGAG